AGCTGCTTCCCCCACCCCAGGAAGCCCTTGCCACGGAGTGTTTGGAACCAAGGCCCTTAGGGGGACGCTGAGCAGAGATGGGGTGTGGCTGGCCCCACTCGGGCCCCCCATGTTTAGGGTTCAAGTCGGGGTTTGAAATGGGGGAAAAGGTGAACCTGTAAACATCATCCGTAACAGGCTAGTCGGTCGGGGGCTGCTCCCCTGCAAGGGGGCCCGCCAAGCAGCCGCTGTCCCTGGTGGGCACAGCTGTCCTGCCGCAGGTGACACGCTGGTTCCGAGCGCGGAGCTAGCAGCCTGGGCCGTCCCCCGTCCCAAGGACGAGGCAGCCTGCAGCCCACGGCCCTGCGAAGGATTTTTAGTGGCTACATTTTTAAAGGCATTTTTCCAGCCCGGGTTCAAAAGCCGCCAGTCTCCCAAAGCGGAAGGATCTGGAGACAGGCTGAGGGGGTCTTCTAAGGGCTTGTGTGTAGCCGTCTCCTGCGAGAGGCCCTGGACTCACCTTGCAAGGCCTGGGCAGACCAGGGGTCTTTCCCCAGGCCTGGAGTCTTCTAGGAAACCGCAGAAGGATTAATTTTCATTCTTCCACATCCGTGCTGGTTTTGTCTTAGCACCAAGCCATTCTGTAGCAGCAATAAACTAGACCAAGGCGCGTGGAGCAGCTCACCCCAGCCAGGGTGCGCATCGCGGGGGGCGTGACAATGTCCAGCCAGGGTTCAGTCCTCGCTCACCTGGTCCTGGCTCACGCCCATGCCGGGCCGGCCCCCAGGCAGGTAGAGAACCCCTGTGTAGAAAACACCGCAGGGAGGGGAGGCGCGAGCTGGCGGAACTGCTCTGGGTCCAGGCCATGGTGTGTCCCACGGCGAATGGAGGTTTCACCTGGACAGCGACGGGGGCAGGGGAAGTGTTGGGGTCGCTCTTCTTGGCAAGGTCAGACGGGGCTGGGGCTGCTGCCCCGGAGGAGAGTCCCAGGGAGCCTTATGGACATCAAGGCCGGGGCAGGTATCGGGAAGGGAATCCCCTCCGGTTACGTGCCTGGAGTTCCCTTCCTCCGAGATCTGCCTGCCGGAGAGGGACTCGGGCACCTCTCTGTTGCGGGTGACTGAGCAACTGGGCATCCCCCTTCGGAACGTGCTGATCTCCAGCAGGCCAGCCCAGGGGCTCAGGGCTGCTAAGCTCAGCGGATGTGTCCGGGGGCCCAGGAGCCGCGACTCTCACCCCGCAGTGCTTTGGGGGGGACTGGATACAAGGTTCCCCCGGAGGAAAAACCAGAAAGAGCAGGCGGGGGGGAGGACTCAGGCTTCCGGAGGGCCACAAGGAAGCAATTGGAGCAATTCCTGGCGGCCAGAGGGGCTCGTGGCGTCTCCTCTGCCGCCAGCGCGTTGGCCTCTCCCTCCCTCCTTGCAGCGAGCGTGCGGCGTGGTGGCAGCGTGGGATGAAAGGTGGGGAGAAAGCCCCCTGCCCCCCCACCTCACATACCCTAGAGAACCTCCCAACT